TCAGCTTTAACTTAAAGAATTTAGCCATTAGACAGTTTTTCAATATTCAAATTGGAGACTCGATTTTTTGAGATCCAACTCGAATCAATCCAAAATTAGGGTTGACAATTTTTTTACTATTTACTTCATCACAGATTCACATAGAAGATTATAAATGTAATTGGGACAGGTTAACATGAATCTAATCTAAGTCTCAAATAAAATTTTCAACCGTTTGAGAAAGTTTTTTTTCCCGGTCTTTAACTTGGGATTTTGGATTTTTAGGATCCAACCCAATCAAATTTGTATTAGTGATCAAAATTCAACCCAAATTTCAAGCTTATTTATGTACTCAGAATGAGGGTTGGCAATACTTTTGTAGTTTACTTCATCACATACATACATAGAGAGGATTAGAGCATAATTTCTATGGGTTAAATTGAATTTAATTTTATTCATGACAGAGTTTTTCAAAATTCAAGTCTTGAAATTTTGAAATTTAATCCGAATTAATTTGAATTATTAAATTTAAAATTAACTCGAATATTCAAGCAATATGAAAATGAAGCTTATTTGAAACCCAAATCAAATCTAAAATTTGAACACGATTCAAACTCGACTTCGAGTTCAAAAATTTATTCTGCGTTTGGTACGATGAAAAAGTGAGAGGATGGAAAGTTGGAGGGATAAATAAAACATTATGTTTGGTAAGGAATGAAAGTAGGAATTATGGAAAAGTTAATGGATTAACTTTCCTTTCAACTCACCAAAATCAATCCCTCTAAAATCGAAAAAAAAATGGATGAAAAATTAATTATTTGTATTGAGATGTATCTTATTTGTCTTATATCTTATGTATACATTAATTTCATATAAAAATACAATGGTAAAATTTGTGTATATATTTTAAAAAAAATAAAAAATTTAAAAATTTAAATTAATAAAATATATATTTTTTCCATCTTAACTAAGGATGAAAATTTTAGAGTCAACACAATGACATGATTTGAACTCGATACGAAAATAAACAGGTCAAGTCGCAACTCGACACGACACAATTAGTTAAATGAGTTAAGTTAAGTCTGACTAATATTCGACATAAACTCGTAATGACTTAACACGAATCTGACACGACTCGACTCGATTCGATTGTCACCCCTAATTTTAACCAGCACAAAAAAAAAATTAAAAAAAAAATAGTTATTTTTATTTTCCATCCATCCAACCAAATATAAAAGAAGTAAAGTATATCATTCTTACTTTCCATATTTGAAGGATAGAATATGTATCCTTTCTACTTTCCATCTTCTCTACTAAATGGAGCATTAAGCACGAACAATACCAGGGTTGAAAGGATCGTGTTAAATCCGGGTTCGGATTAATTTTCAAATTTCAATTTTACAACTTGGGTTATTCCAAAAAATTGACTTCTCGTAGATCCGGATTGCATCCGTTAGATGAATGTGTACACACNCTCGACACGACACAATTAGTTAAATGAGTTAAGTTAAGTCTGACTAATATTCGACATAAACTCGTAATAACTTAACACGAATCTGACACGACTCGACTCGATTCGATTATTACCCCTAATTTTAACCAGCACAAAAAAAAAAAATTAAAAAAAAAATAGTTATTTTTATTTTCCATCCATCCAACCAAATATAAAAGAAGTAAAATGTATCATTCTTACTTTACATATTTAAAGGATAGAATGTGTATCCTTCCTACTTTTCATCTTCTCTACTAAATGGAGCATTAAGCACGAACAATACCAGGGTTGAAAGGGTCGTGTTAAATCCGGGTTCGGATTAATTTTCAAATTTCAATTTTATAACTTGGGTTATTCCCAAAAATTGACTTCTCGTAGATCCGGATTGCATCCGTTAGATGAATGTGTACACACTACACCAGAGACAAATGAATGGTAATTTTAACAACCAAACAGTAGCAGGTGGGAGAGGGTGGCTGGTCAGCAAAGAAAACAGATGGGAGTACACAGTACAGTACGAGGTGGTCGTTTGTTAGACCTGGACAATTTGTCTTTTGTTTGACTATTACACATTGACCACATTACATACTTTCGATTGAGAGGACAAAGGTATCAAAGAGTTTATCTGACATCATTAACAGATCATAAAAGACTCCATAAGGCCAGAAGTCTATTACCAAATTGTTTTTAAATTTGCATAAGGTTTTGAACTATATCAGTTTAATATCAGTTACCATAAATTTGAACTATAAAAGCCCGCCATGACTCTTCAACTGCCCCCATACCANACAGATCATAAAAGACTCCATAAGGCCAGAAGTCTATTACCAAATTGTTTTTAAATTTGCATAAGGTTTTGAACTATATCAGTTTAATATCAGTTACCATAAATTTGAACTATAAAAGCCCGCCATGACTCTTCAACTGCCCCCATACCACCCNATATGATTTGAGTTATTTCTATATGAATTGGCCATTTAAATTTTATTATCAATAAAATGCTGAAGAAAAAAGCAAAAAGCAAAATAGTCATGAAAAAATAACCAAATTTGATGAGGAAAAATGATCCAATGAGCTTCATTTGTCCAAGCTGAGCTTGGTTTATGGAGTAATATGGTTTTTAGGGGTGTAATTCGGAAAGGTGGAAGGGCCAACCCTAACCCAATCTTAAAGTGTATAATTATCAACTCTAATCCTAATTTTAATCCAATGTACTCAAATTGAATATTGCCCAAGTTGAATTTGGACGGGCTCAAGTTAAATTCGAATTACGTAATTTAGAGAAATTTTATATTGTGTTCGGATTACATAATTTAGGCTTATTTCGGGTTAGAATTTGAGTTAGATTCATTTAAGCTCGAAAATGAGTCTGTTGTTTTAAACCTAGTGCATATACATAGTATTCGTTTAAGGTAATAACCAATAACTTCAATCAAATGTTTAATATAAAGACTATAATATTTAAAGCATAAAAATTAATATTTAACATAAAAGACATAATAGTCAAATGTTTAACATAAGATTGAACCTTTATAACTTAGGAAAGAATTCGGGTCGAGCCCGATTATACATTCGAGTTGAACCCAGTAACTAGAGACCTCAACTCAAGTACTATTCGAATTTAATTTGAGTTGATATTTTTCTACCCAAGTTTAACCCAAATATTAAAATTTTAATTCAAACTCTATTTTTTTCGGATTGGATTCAAGTTGAATTCGAGTTAGCCCGCCTAAATTACACCCTTAATGGTATGGTTTGGTTTTGGTTGCAAGATGGTCTGGAACCTATTCTATAGAGTTGGAGTTCTTGGGTTTTGAATATTCTTAGAATTGGTCGTCTGCCAAATCGGTCCCTTTGCCCACATTAGGTACAAATGTAACACCTCCTGTCCTTAGAATCAAAACAAATGGTTGCAATGGGGGCGACAGCTGGAGTTAGTGAAGCTTGTCCCATGGCTCTATCTTTGCAACTCCGGCGAGCCACAATTGAAAGCGATAGCCAGTCGCTCATTCTGCTGTGCACAAGAGAAGACGCTCCCCCCATGGGAAATCGCTGCCTTCGTAGAAGATATTAAGACCTTTGCTGCGGCTTTAAATCTAACCTTCAAATATGAGCCTCGGGTTACTAAATTGGGTGGCCAAATTTAGACTTTATCACCTGTAAGGGNAGAGTCGTCTTCCCCCCTCGCATATAAGCCCTTGCACTCAAAGGAGGAGGTACCCACTAGCGACCTAATCAGGTGCCTTTTTTGTAAGGGGTAGAAATCGCTACGGATCTCATCCCTCCACTTGAAGGATTTCGGCTTGACCTGGGTTAACCCACGTGGGCGACCCCCCAGTAGCCTTTATCCCTCAGTGCCCGCAGGAACTTCGTCCCACATCGACTGAGAGTCGTCTCCCCCCCTCGCATATAAGCCCTTGCACTCAAAGGAGGAGGTACCCACTAGCGACCTAATCAGGTGCCTTTTTTGTAAGGGGTAGAAATCGCTACGGATCTCATCCCTCCANTACCCACTAGCGACCTCCTCCTTTGAGTGCAAGGGCTTATATGCTAGGGGGGGAGACGACTCTCAGTCGATGTGGGACAAAGCTCCTGCGGGCACTGAGGGGTAAAGGCTACTGGGGGGTCGCCCACGTGGGTTAACCCAGGTCAAGCCGAAATCCTTCAAGTGGAGGGATGAGATCCGTAGCGATTTCTACCCCTTACAGTTGCTTAATAAGTTAGTGAAAAATTAATTATATCGGAAAAATGTTGGTTGTTGATCGAAGAATACTTAACTTTGTAATTAATTAAATAAATATTTTAAAAATTAAAAAAAGTGAGAGAGAAGCCTCCTCAAAACATTTCTCTTAAAAATTTGAATGTTTTATTTAGGGTTAATTACACCCGAAGGCCCCAATGTATATATTTTATGTTATTTTAGTCTTCAATTTATCAATTATATCATATTAGTTTCTACTATTTGTAATTTAATTTTAAATGGTCCCCACCCATAACGTTAAAACGTTAGAATTCATAGGGAGCAAAATGATGCAGGACGACGGGTGTAATTAACCCTTTTATTTATATAGATAGATTTGCGGAGGTCAACAGACATTTCCTTTCTCTATCTCTGTGTTGCTCGCTGATCACTTTCTTCCGTTTTCTCTCACTCTCTCTCTTCTTTTTCCCTCTTCTTTTCTCTGCTCATATGACAGACAGAGGAAAGAGAGTGGCAAAGGAAAGTGTAAACTCACTTATTGTTCTTCAACTATAATCAAATTTCCTTGCAACTCCAACCTTTTACATTTTCCTTCCTTGTTTGTTCAATTTACTGGGAGATTTTTCCCAAGAAAACTTCTGGGTTTTCTTCATTGATTCTAGAATTGTTACTACAATTCTTATTCTGTGTCGTTCTTGTTTTTCTTCAAAATTTGAAGTTTCTTGCAATAAATCTTCCTTATGGAAAAGAAGAATATGTTTACCAACGAAGGCCACCCATTGGCACCCACTTGGTGTTCATCAAATTTTGGAATCGAAATCCAAACCCATGATCTGCATTGTACTTCAGACCAGCTTCCCAATTGCCTTCTCAATCCCATTTGGGACAATTCAGTGGATCAGGGCGATCCTTTTGAGTNAAACCCATGATCTGCATTGTACTTCAGACCAGCTTCCCAATTGCCTTCTCAATCCCATTTGGGACAATTCAGTGGATCAGGGCGATCCTTTTGAGTCTGCATTGGGCTCCATGGTCTCATCTCCGGCCACTTCCAATGCCGGAGTTCCCGGGACCGGCGGTGACAGCATTGTCCTCAGAGAACTGATCGGAAAACTGCGAATGATTTGCAACTCCAGCGAAAATTCATTTGAATCTTACTTTGGTGGCAATAATAACACAAACACTTCATGTTATAACCCACCCTTGAACTCCCCTCCCAAGATCAACCTGTCAATGGTGGATAATCAGTGTAAATATTTTCCAAGTCATCCAAATTTGGCACCATTTCCAAAACATTTGCCTGAATTGCCTCACAAATTGACACAGAGATTGGATTCAAGCAAACTCTCAAGAGTTTCAAGTAATAATTCCATCAAGTTTGCTGGATCTCCATTTGGGGTTCAAGAAAATTTGTTGCAGGAGAAAATTTCGGCTTCTGAAAATACAGAATTGGGAAATTATAGGGAGGAATCTTCGGTTTCTGAGCAAATCCCAGTTGGGGATGTTGGCTTGAAAGCTCAGATTGATGGAAATTCCAGAAAGAGAAAATCGATTCCGAGGGGAAAAGCCACAGAAGAGCCATCATCTGCCTCTGCTAAAGATGCTAAGGTACCTTGCCTATCAAAAAANCAGATTGATGGAAATTCCAGAAAGAGAAAATCGATTCCGAGGGGAAAAGCCACAGAAGAGCCATCATCTGCCTCTGCTAAAGATGCTAAGGTACCTTGCCTATCAAAAAAACATAATCCGAAAATTATTTTTAGAAAAAAGATTTAGAAAAGTATGCTTTGGTGTTTTTTGTGTTGTAGAACTTGTTAATTATATAATTCTAAAAACAGTTTTGTAGAATAAAAAACAACAAAACTTATTTGGACAATAACTTAGAAAACAATAAAAATAGAAATGCAGTGATAGTAAAAGTGTGATAATGGTGGTGAAAGNACATAATCCGAAAATTATTTTTAGAAAAAAGATTTAGAAAAGTATGCTTCGGTGTTTTTTGTGTTGCAGAACTTGTTTAATTATATAATTCTAAAAACAGTTGCGTAGAATAAAAAACAACAAAATTTATTTGGACAATAACTTAGAAAAACAATAAAAATAGAAATGCAGTGATAGTAAAAGTGTGATAATGGTGGTGAAAGTATAGTAGTGGTATTTTCTAAATTTTAATGGTTATTTCAAAAATCACACAAAACACCTTTAACTTGTTCTTTAAATTTATTTATTTTTTGTTGTCAGTTTTCAAAAAACAAAACATTTAGCCAAATAATTTTTCAATCAAAAACTGTTTCTGAAAATAGAAAAACAATTTCTAAAATATAAATCAAACAGACCCATGTTTCAAGGTGTATTTTTAATACTTTAACAAATGTTTTAAAAATAAATTTTTATTTATTTTCTTTGTTTATGAAATATTAGTCCATTTTTGAACCTATGCACTGAAACGAGCTTTAGATACGAAAACTTCTGTAGAAATTAGAGAAGGTTTTTGGTGCAGGCTGCAGCAGAGAATGATGAATCAACTTCAAAAAGAAGCAAACCAGATGAAGCCAATGGAAATGAAAAAGATGATGCAAAAGCAAAAGGAGAAGAAAATGAAACTAAGGAAATTCAAAATACTTCAGAACCTCCAAAAGACTATATTCATGTTCGAGCTCGAAGAGGTCAGGCCACAGATAGCCATAGTCTTGCTGAGAGGGTATGAATTAATGGAAGTTCTCTCTATTTAAATCTTTCTCTCACCATTTTCCATTGCTAGATTCAGATTTAATTGTCATTTTTGGCGAGCAGGTCCGAAGAGAAAAAATTAGTGAAAAGATGAAGTTCCTTCAAGATCTTGTACCAGGTTGCAACAAGGTGATTAGAACATACCACTTAGGGACAATTACACCCCTTAAACTATTACTTTTTTTTACATTGCCCCCTAATCTGTTTTCCATATTTCAACTTAAACTATGTGCTTGAGTTTCACATTGCCCAAATCGTTGAGATTAGTCCACTTTTTCACAGGTAATCTGATGCAATATGGGTGACCCAAATTTTAGTATTTTATTTGAACGTGGTCAATACCGTTCAATTAGAAAATTTTGAAAGATTTATTTTATTTCTTAATTTAGTTAGGAAATTATTTTATTTTATTTTTGAATTCCATGAAGACTTTATTTTATTTGGTTTCTTAATTAATTAGAATTTTAGTTTCCTGGTTTGTTTAGGGTTTCTACTATACTGTATAAATGCATGTAAGCCTCGGGGTAAAACAGCTTTGTTTAGGGTTTCTACTATACTATATAAATGCATGTAAGTTTCAGATTAAAACAACTTTTGATTATTGAATACAATTGAGAGAGTTATCTCTTTTTTTTTCAATTATTTTGGTATTTTTGGGAATCAACAGATTAATTGAAGTATTTAGAACTGTTATTCTTTGTGAATCAACAAGCCTAGAATAGGAATTTAAATAGGTATTTGTGCGTAAATCAACGGTTTATTTTTATTATTCCTTTTTGTTCATTATATCACTCTTTTAACTCGCTTCCCAGTATTGCATAAGTTGATATGGTCTTTCCCTTCTCAGCTGGATGAAATTCAATTTTTGCCCTGATTTGGCATAAAACAATGGACAGAAGTTGGGACAGTGTGAATCTCAAACCCATTGTTTAAGGTGTAACGTGAGAAAGTAAATAATTTAGGAGGCAATGTGACACAAGGGGTATAATTCAGGGGGTCTAAGTGTAATTTTCTCTGCTACTTCTGCAGCTTTCTCATGCAATTGTACTTGAAAATGAACCAAATTCTCTAAATTGAGCTTCAGTTTTTGTCATAGGTGACTGGGAAAGCTGTTATGCTTGATGAAATTATAAACTATGTGCAGTCATTGCAGAGGCAGGTTGAGGTAAATCCAGATTATCCCAAAACTCACCATTCTTATTTTGTAATAATAATCTCTTCATATATTGCTAAACTTCTATTGGTTAATCATTCTCGTAGTTTCTTTCGATGAAATTAACCACTATCAATCCCGGAATGGACTTTAACATGGGAGCTGTTTTGCTGAAGGATGTAAGTTCATCACATTTTTCTGTTTTCTGAAAAATTTCATGTGGTTTTGGCTGTAACCATAGTTTGTTCAATTCCAGATCTTCCCGTCTCATAGATCTTTGCCACAAAAAAAGTGCCCTTTAGATTCAACAGCACATATATTTCCTTATGCATTACACTCTCAACAAAGGCCAAGACTGCATAGTGACATTCCTAATGGAATAGATAGTCCATGGTCAACAATGAATGCTGCAATGCATCAAAATCCAAGCATGGAACTGCCTTCAATCAATGGTTTTGGTGAAGCTTCCTCCAGGGTAATTCGAGATGTTTTAATGATAAAATGATGAGTTTCAGATGTATCTCCTGCATAATCTTTACCAATTTCTGATCAAAGCGATTTCCAGGTTCCGATATTCTGGGAGGATGACATCCAAAGCCTTGTTCAGATTGGGTTTGGCCAAAACCAACCACAGAACCACCAAAGTGAGAAAAAAAATTTATTGAGTTTAATGAAGTGCTATAAGAGTCTAATTGATATCAACCAACTTGATTTTTGTAGCATCTTATGCACACTTATCTTTTGATGCAGGCACAACAACCACTGCTCAGATGAAAATTGAGCTATGACCATCACTTCTTTAGCATTTCAAACTCATTTGACGCCCCGAATGAGAGAGGCCTCTGTAAATACAGAGCAAATCGGATTCTGAGAATGAGGACTGTTCTCTTCCTTCTTTGCTCAATATTTGGTGACCAATTTTAAAACCGATACCTTGGAGAATTCTTACAATTTACAACCCATTGTATAATTCTAGGAATAATGGGATCTATGTAGCATGTTAAGAATTTTGTTGTAGGATTGATGAGAGAGAGAAGTATTCATGTAAGCTTTTGTTTCTTTCCTTGTTTTGCATATTTCCTTACCAATCAGATAATGTAATGTAATGTCTTTGTTTCTCTTCATTGTTAGTTCTCCAATTTTGCTTCGACACATAATTTCTTTGTTTAGTTGCTAGCTACTAATATGAGAACAAAAGTACATGACATTGAGACCCTTACAACAGCCATTCCAATGTAGGCTTGGTGTAGGAAGTCACTTGAGACTGATTAGAAAGAATTTAATTGTCATAAAATGGAAATGATGTTGCGTTAAATTGCCGGATTTGTTGGGATTAGATTTGGTGACCAGCTGTTAGTGGGACAAATGGTTTTAAGTCCAAATGACTGATTAAGAAGGACACTCAGTACACTAAGCTGAAATCAAGAGTCATTTTTTATAAATCTCTAATTGACTATGTGCTAATAGACAAGACTATTCTTTTCCTTTGCCTTCCAAACTTTATGATCAGAATTGACAAGAAGCTTCAAAAGCCCAGCTTGACAACCTTTTTTTTTTTTTTCTGTTTCAACGATTAGGAGTATTCCGGTTAATTTACGTGTACTTTGACTAATCTTCTCCTCACTTTGATCAAAAGAAGATCATCTACGCCGAGATTAAGGTATTCATGAGAGATATATTTTTCATGACCTGACCCTAAGAAATTTTTAAGATTCGAACTCAGAACGTCCGACTTTATAACTTGTTCATATTATCAATTGAGTTACCTTGAGGTTCAAGCTCCGACTTGGATAAGGAATCAAAGAACTTTTGCAATCTCATCTATTAAGAAAGGTATGAAAAGAAAATGTGTGGATAAGTAGAAGAATAAAAAGTAGTGGGGCTTAGATGTAGACAGATACCCCTTGTAGATAGACAACTTTCCCATGAAAGGCTGTCAGGAAAATCCATCCAAACACCCACAAAAGACATCTGCAGCCTTTTGGTTTTATTCCAATCTCTCAGTCGCGGGAGCTTCGTGCACTATTCTTTTTTTTTTTTAAGCCTACACTGAAAAATTATCAGATTCAGAGGCTAGTAGAGTACAATTATAAGACAATTTAAGGCAGCTCATGAAAGCAGTTCATAGAAGCTGTCGGTTAGAACAGAATACAGTCTGTTGAATCATGTGTGTGTTTTTTATGGTGTCATGAGGTTGTATTGAACCACAATATCAAACAAGGGTTTAATGCTAAGTTGTAGCACTTGGGAGTGTAATTAAGGACATGGTTCTTTTGCAACCTGTAAAAGGGACCCTCTGATTAAATTTCTACCCAAAAGTAACTGGTACCACCTTAAGAATGATTTTGACAGAGACTTCCAATCTAACTGTATAGTGAGATAGTCACCACCAACATATAGCAACCACATATTGCTTGTAGAAGCCAACCTCTTTTCCTAGACTTTTTTAATTTAAATCCCTAGATCACTATTACAATGAAAAATCAACTATTATAACTTCCAAATGGTGCATCTATAACAAATGAGAAAGTACCCCTAGAGGGTGGAAGTTTGAAAGTGTACACAGTAAAGCCTCTAACTATGGTCACATAAGTAATCAAGTCTTGCCTTTCATAAAGATTGATAAATTAATTTGTCGGTTGCATAATTGTGAGAAAATCAAGGGTAGCCAACTCAACTAAGCTCAATTATTTTTTTTTCTTACTCTCTTTGAGTATGTCGAAATTACAAATTTTAAGCTAAGATGCTTTCCAACAATTTCGAATGGCAGACTAGCTTATGTTGCCAACCCAAACTGAAAAATCGCAAGTCCTCTGCACTCCCTTTTGATAATCTCGTACTTTTTTGTGATCACAAGTGATGAGTTTGAACCTTATATCGTTTCTTTTTTTAAAATTTCATGCTGACACTTAATCAATTTTTATATAATACTTCCCCCCTCCCCCCTCTCTTATACTCTAAGAACCAGTAAAGTGAATTTAGTTGGTGATATAATCTCATTTTTTGTTAATTTCTTGGGTGGACATGGAAGAGCTTGACTATGGTTTTCCATTATTAACTCCTGATATGACTTACAAGCAGGGTACACAATGATAGTATGACTAAAGAGAGATTGATGGAATATGTTTCTTTGTGGGGGGATATAATTGACAATCATTAGAGGGGGTCCATTTACCAGCTGTCTCTCTTACTCTCTTGGTTAACATATCACATCTTTCTTCACTTTATGTCCCCTTTCTTTCATCTTAAGAAGCATTGGTTTAAATTGGGTTGGTATGATATTTGATTGGGATGAGATAGAAAACAAGCTGTGTATAAGTTTCATTTTGTTTCACCAATGGATTACCATTTTGTGGTTAGAGTTTAGACCTAGCGATGTGATCGTGNTCCTGATATGACTTACAAGCAGGGTACACAATGATAGTACGACTAAAAAGAGATTGATGGAATATGTTTCTTTGTGGGGGGATATAATTGACAATCATTAGAGGGGGTCCATTTTCCAGCTGTCTCTCTTACTCTCTTGGTTAACATATCACATCTTTCTTCACTTTATGTCCCCTTTCTTTCATCTTAAGAAGCATTGGTTTAAATTGGGTTGGTATGATATTTGATTGGGATGAGATAGAAAACAAGCTGTGTATAAGTTTCATTTTGTTTCACCAATGGATTACCTTTTTGTGGTTAGAGTTTAGACCTAGCGATGTGATCGTGATTTTCTCGTTCTCCGAAAAAAGGGGAATCAAAGTCCACAAACTTGTTACTCGAACGTACTTTACGTCCGGACTCTGACAGAATATTCATATAACTCTGTTGACCCCACGTGGTTTTAGACACAACTAAAACCGATACGAATTCAATTAAAAGTAATGCTCCAATATTTAAATTTAACATTTTTAACAAAAAGCACATCATAATAGCTTTTATTCCCTTATGTTTATCATATTTTTCTCTCGCTAGGATAAATCTATTTAANCTTTTTGTGGTTAGAGTTTAGACCTAGCGATGTGATCGTGCTTTTCTCGTTCTCCGAAAAGAGGGAAATCAAAGTCCACAAACTTGTTACTCGAACGTACTTTACGTCCGGACTCTAATAGAATATTCATATAACTCTGTCGTTGACCCCACGTGGTTTTAGACACAACTAAAACCGATACGAACTCAATTAAAAGTAATGCTCCAATATTTAAATTTAACATTTTTAACAAAAAGCACATCATAATAGCTTTTATTCCCTTATGTTTATCATATTTTTCTCTCGCTAGGATAAATCTATTTAAACATTTTCAGGTAGAAAAATACTAAACAAATTAGAAAAATATAAATGTATTTTTATTCTTCTGTATTAAATTATTGGTTTTTTTAGCAGTTTCACTTTAGTCACAAACCACATGGTTTATGTCCAACTATTTCGTAGCGTGTTGTCGGGTCCAATCATAGAGAGAATCTATAATATCATCTTCTTAATAAAAAACAAAACCTATTTTTGTAAATTTTCAATCAGCAAGTCCTAATTTTTTCTTTAAAACCTTACTTTTGAGTAGAGGTGTTTTCAAGTCGGGCTGAGTTAAGTCCGTGAAATTTTATTCTAATTACACCTGAGCAGAGTAAATTCAAATCCTTACCTATGTGAATTATTGATCGGGCTGCATTAGACTTTGGGTATAAGTAGACTACCAATAATTTAATCCGTCACTTATCAGACTTTTTTTTTGGAAATATAACTATTTTTTTTACTGTTGTTGTTGTTCTCGAAGCATGAGCTGTGTTTATTAAAAAAAAAAAAAGTGCTGATGTGCATGAGTGCATGTGCATCTTTTACAAAATCAAAAGATGGCCCATCTTGTAATAAATTATAAATATGTCACCCAACTGGACNAAAGATGGCCCATCTTGTAATAAGTTATAAATATGTCACCCAACTGGACAAATTTTTTTTCAAACAAAGGGGGTGGACAGGCAATGGGTTGGACTTGGTAGGCTGGTTCTTGAGCTAGGTTTTTGCTGGCGGCCTAATGGACCAAGTTTTGGGCTAGGTATTAGGGTTGGAAGAAGGTTTTTGAGGGATATTAGACTTGAGTTCGAATGGGCCAATGACCGAGCCTATCAGACTTTAGATCTATTTTTTTAGGCTGAATAACAGGACACCCCTACCTTTGAGTGACACCAAGTGAAAAATAAGAAACTTAAGTACTATTTTGTTTTTATTTCAAAAATTGTTTTATATTTTTTAGAACAGTTTTTAAAAGAAAAACTGTTTGACTAGTTATTTTTTGTTTTTGTTTTTTGAAATCTGTGAACAAAAAGTGAGTAGATTTACAGAACAAGTTAGAACTGTTTTATATATTTTTTGAAATAACCTTTCTAAAATTTAGAAAACACCACCACCACATTCCACCNACTGTTTTATATTTTTGAGAACAGTTTTTAAAAGAAAAATTGTTTGACTAGTTATTTTTTTTTTTTGTTTTTTGAAATCTGTGAACAAAAAGTGAGTAGATTTACAGAACAAGTTAGAACTGTTTTATATATTTTTTGAAATAACCTTTCTAAAATTTAGAAAACACCACCACCACATTCCACCACACATCCACCACCACCACCACCACACTCCCATCATCGCCCACCACCACCATCGCCCACCACTACCTTTCCACCAACACCACACTTTCCACCAGCTCCAATACCAACACCATACTTCCACTACCCTTCCACCACACCACCACCACCATACCACCACCATTATGTCCACAATTCCACCATTCTCACAATTCTACCACCCTCCTCCACCACTACACATTTTTGTTTTCATTATTTTTTGGGTTATTGTCAAAATAAAATTTAATGTTTTCTACTTCATAGAACAATTTTTGAAATCATGTGACCAAACAAATTGTGCGACACAAAAAATNAATTCCACCATTCTCACAATTCTACCACCCTCCACCACTACACATTTTTGTTTTCATTATTTTTTGGGTTATTGTCAAAATAAAATTTAATGTTTTCTATTTCATAGAACAATTTTTGAAATCATGTGACCAAACAAATTGTGCGACACAAAAAATAAATTTCTAAAACTCTTCTCAAAAACGGTTTTCGAATTTTGTTTTTTAAGATATAAACCAAATAGAGCCTAATTTGCTCCTTTTATATATAGTAGGTTCTCTCAAAGCTTCATTACCAATAATTAGTGTATTATTTGGGAAGCCCAAAACTTTAAATTAGTAATCTCAAGGGGTAGTTCAAATGGTAATAAGGACGAGGTGTAAACTTAGACATCCTGAGTTTAAAACTTGACAACTCCTTAGAATCAGGTTATGAAAAATTTATCACTCATGAATATCTTAGTCTCGCACGAATGACCTATTTTGACCATATTGGAGAGGAGTTTAGTCGAGGTATGAGTAAATTGGCTCGAATTCTCCTAATCGTTGAACCCAAAAAAAACAAAAAAAATCTAGCCACTTGAAGATGTCCATCAGACTAATTTTGCAAAATATATAAATAAATAGAGCTCTAAAAATATTTGAAATTATTCCACTTCAAATAGTTTTTCCCCCTTGTAGCTTGCTTAATNAAATATATAAATAAATAGAGCTCCAAAAATATTTGAAATTATTCCACTTCAAATAGTTTTTCCCCCTTGTAGCTTGCTTANGGCTCGAATTCTCCTAATCGTTGAACCCAAAAAAAACAAAAAAAATCTAGCCACTTGAAGATGTCCATCAGACTAATTTTGCAAAATATATAAATAAATAGAGCTCTAAAAATATTTGAAATTATTCCACTTCAAATAGTTTTTCCCCCTTGTAGCTTGCTTAATTTCTTGTTTCTTCCAATTAAATAGATATCTAGACGTCACTTTCAACCCCTTTCTCTCTTCAAATAGTGGAAGAGTTGCCCATGACCTTTCAGAAGACAAAGAAAAAAAATGGCTTAACTCTGAGTGTGCTACCGAAAAGTTATTTTTTGATATTATACTTTTTTTTTCAGCCAATCAAAACACATAAAAACTCATCTTCTTATGTTATTAAATGTTATGTTATTATTTTCACAATCAATGGCTGCAAACAACTCAAATTAAGATTTACATTCAATAAGTCATTTTTTTGCAGTGGTATTGAAAAGTTATTTTTCAGTACTGTCGCCATATGCCACTTTCTTACTGGATAATGGATGATTAGGGTTGAGCAGCCTGCTGAGTTCTTTCTGTCTTCTGATTCAATAAAATACCACTGAAGGAGAAATGGTCCGCAAGTTGGGAAAGGTACAAGTCAGAGAAGACAAGGCCACAAGCTGCTTGTTTTATGGTCCCCATGACGTGATAGACTGTCTGTTTTTGCCTTCCAAATGACACAAAGCAATGGACATACTTCAATGATTCACTTGGAGATTGCCCCCTATCAAACAAATAATTTTTTGTTTTTGAGATCTTTCATCAGGTCCATTTTCTCTGGGTCCACACTACTCCAGACTCTGCAAAACCTGTTTCAATACAAATTAATTTTTTTTTCCTTCTTNCTCCATGACGTGATAGACTGTCTGTTTTTGCCTTCCAAATGACACAAAGCAATGGACATACTTCAATGATCCACTTGGAGATTGCCCCCTATCAAACAAATAATTTTTTGTTTTTGAGATCTTTCATCAGGTCCATTTTCTCTGGGTCCACCCTACTCCAGACTCTGCAAAACCTGTTTCAATACAAATTAATTTTTTTTTCCTTCTTTTATTGCCTCATTTTGGTACAGAACAACACAAAATATGTATGCATGTGCGTGTGCGAAGCTTATGGTGCTTGATAGGGAGGCAAATGAAACGACTAATGTAGCTGATCCCAAAAATTTGAAAAAATGCGTCCTTGTGTTGTGTTGCGCTGGTTATCTCTCTTGGAGTGTGTTTGTGTGCTGCTGTATATGCACAAGTTTGCCTGATTCATTTGAGAACCAAATAGAGCATCAGGCTGTGGGGAAGAGTTGAATGCATAGGTTTGTGACAGGCTTCCGAGATTCTGAGCCTGAGAAAAGTGAAGAACCATTTATTCATTCAACTCTTGTGATGAAAGAATCCAAATTGAATACAGAGCACAATAAGAGAACAAATACATTAGTCCTCACAATTGTGAGAACTACTGATAACACTCTGAAGACCAACCAAAATGGATTCATTTTCACAGATATATAACAAAAAACTGCTAGTATACAATAAGGTTACCACTAAACTCCTGTCTCTATATGTTGCATCGATCATATTCAGAGACCCACGAATAGGGTTCTGCTAGTCTGGATAACTCCCCTTCTTCAGCATTGTAAAATGGCTCAAACTCCTCTCTCCATCGCTGATCATCTGTACTCAGGAGTCTCACTTCGTCATATTTTGTTATGTCAGTGTCATTGTAAACAGGTCGTAATGCTTCTTTTGGCAAACGAGAGTCTGCAATGAGCTGATTCATAGTACTAATCTCTCTTTCGTGTTTCTTCTTCAATTTGTCGATCTCTTTGTAAGCCTTCTCAGTTTCTTTCTCAGCTTCTTTTGCTCGCCTCTACAAATGGTAAAAATTTATTAGAGAATAATTGAGAGTAAGCATATAATTACTCTTTTGCCCATCCATTTTCACTACAGTCACTCGCCTCTGTAATTACTGGAGATCATAAGCTAGAAAAGGAAACTTCAGACATTAATGTTCTTGAAAATCCACATTTTCCAAAATGCAAAGAAAAAAAAAAGCCTGGAATTTGTTGCAAACGATAGATTTCTACCTGCACGATTTATCTAAACGATAATATAATGAAGCCAACTACGGAGAGTCACATTCTACTATGCAAATTCACTGGAATTAATTCACTTTAAGTGGAACTTTTAACGTTGCTAGTAAAAAGTCTCTATATTGTGATATGAAGTCACATAACAGTATGCACATAGTGCAAGCGTGTGTTCGTGGGGTGTGCACACACACACAGACACACAGGAAAATGGTTGATTTTTAGATTGCAAGCGAAGAGAAAAGGCAATATGATAAAAAAAAGAGTGGCAGCACGAGTACAAAGAAGTCAATTTGAGGAGAAGAAAACTATAACAAAGGGAATGTCATAGTCAGCATAAAAAGAGAAAATGGTCAGAAGTTCGATAAGTCATAAAGCATGGGGAAAGGAAAATACACAAGAATGTCATAATAAGGTAACATTAGGAAAATAATAAAGAAAATAGACAAGAATATCTAAATAAGAGACATTCCAAAAGTATTATGTATTTATGGTATTTCCCAGTTGATAGTGATAAACAAGTCTAAGATAATATCCAAAAAACCCAAACCTAATAATAAAAGGCCTAAAAAGGTTATATTCAAGCTCAGGTGCTCCACACAATGGTACTTTTGTAATCACCTCATTGCACATCAACTTAATTCATGCATTTTAAATCTTTACTAATTTAATATAATATTATAATCTATGAAAAAAAGTTTAGAAACTTATATATCTTTCACCAAAAGAGAGTGAACAGCTAACGAACATACACAAAAAAGAGCTTTTTCTCACATTAGTGATCACTTAAATCATATTGAGCATCAGTTACCAATGACTTTAAATGAATTCCGATTTTTGCAATTCTAGCGGATTGGATTGCTTCATGTGATTTATAGTCTCTTTATATCTTTTACTCCTTATCTTTTGTATTTTTTTCTACTTCTTAGTTGGATTCCTTATCCAAACTTTTGATGTACTTTTATTTTTATTTATAAAAAGTTCCTGTTTCCTATAAAAAAAAGTCAGGACTTTTATTATACATAAGCACAATTTTTGGTGTTGATCCTGAATAACATGGCAAGGCAACCAAAACCCCCAACACACCACCACCAAAAAAAAACACAAAAGTTAAACAAAGAGAACCAAAAAAGAGGAAAAACAAAGAAACAATGAGGCAAACAAAAGGAAGTCCCAAATCTATGGTTGCATGCAAAACCACATAAAGTCATAAAGAGAATCTACGTTCCATGAGCTCATCTAATGCTTGGAGTACCAATGTTGACAAACTCAAGTTTAGTATATCACTGTTCACAAAACTCCCCTCTTATTATGATCCTTCGGTCATATGTTTGCATGCAAACATATTAGCTACCCATTCTTTTACCAATTAATGTTGAATAATACACCATTTTATGCACGAAACTATTGTAGGGGCAAAAAAAGATATGAATATTTAGTCATTCTTGTAAAGAGAGTTTGTATCCCACATCGAATAATTAGGTCATCTAAGGTTGGTTTATATACTTGAGGGTATACTCCACTTATTGCCAATTGGTTTTGGGTTTGATGCTCTAACATGGTATCAACGTTGGGCCTTGGGTGATTAATGGGCCAAGCCTTTTTACCCATTTGAATTTTTCTAGTACACATGGTTGTTTGTTTGTTAGCCCCACATGCAAGCACAAGTCCCATGTGAGGGAGGGTGTAAAAAAAGTTTATAATATCCCACATTGAATTATATACTTGAGGGGACTACTCCACTCATTGCCAATTTGTTTTGCGTTGGATGCCCTACCAGTTCTCTTTTTTTATTGGACTAGGGGATTAAACAAACAACATGCTTGGACATATAAAGGTACCCGACAAGCAAAGCCAAGCACATGTAACTTACGGGAAGTCGACCCATTGCCAATTTGTTTTGTGTTGGATGCCCTACCAATTCTCTTTTTTTATTGGACTAGGGGATTAAACAAACAACATGCTTAGACATATAAAGGCACCCGACAAGCAAAGCCAAGCATATGTAACTTAGGGGAAGTTTATTGTGCGTGTAGTAACCAAATTCAGATGTTCTTAACTTGCTTCAAACAAACAAGTATTTCCTATTACCAGAGGGCCCCCAATACTGGCGTTCTCACCTTCTGGTCTCCCTTACTCCACATTGTAAGGGCATTAAGTCACAAATACATGCACGATTAAAACTTACTAAAGCTAGAATAGCTGAGGAACAACGTAGCAACAAAGGAACAAAACAACACATGAACAACCAATTCCAAACTCACCTGTGCAGTGGCCACAGCTTCTTCTGCTTCTTTGAGCCGCACAAGCAATTCGCCAGCAGCCTGTACAGCTTCGGCAGTGTCCCTAAGTTGGGCCTGAAGCCCTTTATTCTCATCCTTGAGATACCTCCTCTCTTTTTCTCTTTCAACTTTTAGTGTTGAAATTTCTGCAGCCAGGGCATTAATGAACTTGGATTCAGCACCCCTCACTCCAGCTCTTGCAGCAGCTTTCTTGACATCATCTATTCCATCAAGAATCTTCCTTTGCCTCGCAAGCATTTGCATGTGTTTCTCCTCAAGATCTGCATACTGTTCAAGCATGCGTGCATGGCCCTCCATGGCCACCTGCATCGCTTCCTTCAATTCTTCTGAACATTGCTTCTCCATATCTAATTCCTGCTTTTGCTTCTCTGCAAGCGAGCGGCTAGCTTCAAGTTCAACTCTCAATTCTTCTGCAAGAGAAATCCACTTGCTTTCAGCTTCAGTCCAACGAACTCTTTCCTGCTCAAGTTTCTGCTCTGCACTCTCCTCTGTCAACTCTGGGATTGAGCCCAAAGGTGGAACCACAATAGGCTCACATGGATAGGTCAATTTCAAAAGAGAATTGCGTTTCCTAGCCGAACATGGTGAAGAGTTTATATAATATTGTAGTTGGCTTTTTAAGTCTTGAATTTCTTCCACCAACACATCCCTCTCACCCATATCAAAGAAGTTTTGATACCGTTCCAGCTCATCTTGAATTCTTTTTAACTCAATTTTTGTCCTCAAAACTTCCGGATGGTTATCATATTTTTCCCTTAAAAGCTGTAAACACATAACAGAGGGGACAACATGCATAAAGGCAGGGGACATGATATAGAGAAGAACTTGAAATGCACAAATATTGTGAGTCAAAGTGAAAAATCAAGCATACCTTAACCTCATTTGTCAACAACACTAATTCATCCTCCATGAACTCCTTGGTAGATAAAACGCCATCCATCAGGCTTTCAAGATGGACAATTTTGTCTTCCCGTGTTTGTCCTATTATAGCATTGCATTCCCTCTCATGTTTGTACTGTTGCACCTGTAATTGATGGCCAAAATGATTAAACAGATGACAATGGATGACAATGGTTCATGGTTGTTATCAAGTTCTTGATTAATTATTAAAAGAAACCTACCAAACGCTTAAGTTGCATGATTTCAGAAGTTTGCTTGGCACAAAACTCTTCTAATGCCATCTCTCTCCTAATAGATCCTGCTAAAACCTTTTCCACAGCCTGCAGGATAATGACAGTGTTACATACATACATTAGAACAGGGATAGCCAGAAAAAAGGTACCAAAAATTCCTGTAGATGCCCTCATANTCGCTTCCTTCAATTCTTCTGAACATTGCTTCTCCATATCTAATTCCTGCTTTTGCTTCTCTGCAAGCGAGCGGCTAGCTTCAAGTTCAACTCTCAATTCTTCTGCAAGAGAAATCCACTTGCTTTCAGCTTCAGTCCAACGAACTCTTTCCTGCTCAAGTTTCTGCTCTGCACTCTCCTCTGTCAACTCTGGGATTGAGCCCAAAGGTGGAACCACAATAGGCTCACATGGATAGGTCAATTTCAAAAGAGAATTGCGTTTCCTAGCCGAACATGGTGAAGAGTTTATATAATATTGTAGTTGGCTTTTTAAGTCTTGAATTTCTTCCACCAACACATCCCTCTCACCCATATCAAAGAAGTTTTGATACCGTTCCAGCTCATCTTGAATTCTTTTTAACTCAATTTTTGTCCTCAAAACTTCCGGATGGTTATCATATTTTTCCCTTAAAAGCTGTAAACACATAACAGAGGGGACAACATGCATAAAGGCAGGGGACATGATATAGAGAAGAACTTGAAATGCACAAATATTGTGAGTCAAAGTGAAAAATCAAGCATACCTTAACCTCATTTGTCAACAACACTAATTCATCCTCCATGAACTCCTTGGTAGATAAAACGCCATCCATCAGGCTTTCAAGATGGACAATTTTGTCTTCCCGTGTTTGTCCTATTATAGCATTGCATTCCCTCTCATGTTTGTACTGTTGCACCTGTAATTGATGGCCAAAATGATTAAACAGATGACAATGGATGACAATGGTTCATGGTTGTTATCAAGTTCTTGATTAATTATTAAAAGAAACCTACCAAACGCTTAAGTTGCATGATTTCAGAAGTTTGCTTGGCACAAAACTCTTCTAATGCCATCTCTCTCCTAATAGATCCTGCTAAAACCTTTTCCACAGCCTGCAGGATAATGACAGTGTTACATACATACATTAGAACAGGGATAGCCAGAAAAAAGGTACCAAAAATTCCTGTAGATGCCCTCATACATACTTTAGGAACTTGCTTCTTCGATTTGTCAGATGATTGTGACCCATTAACTGGTACTAACTGCATATTCAAACTGTCATCGGCATCTTTGATCTCTTGAGAATTTCTATTCTTGCACTTACTACACAAAAAGACCACCGAATCCTGTTCCAGCATCTCATTATCTTGAAGAAACGTTTGGATACCCACATCAACTCTTTGAACTGGTAAAATTTGTTTGAGGTCTTCAGGGTTGTGAGAAAACCTGAATGATGACCTCCTCAAAGCCGAACTCTGGCGATGGCTACCAAAAATTTCAAGACCACGATGGAGACTAGCGGCCAGTTGTTCAGTGGATGCAAAACAAGTTCTACTTAATTGACTAGACAAGGCATTCCCAAAGCTGTTTTTTGATGCCTTTGCAAAAGATGCACGTCCAGCCTCTGAGACTAAGTTACTACTTTCTTCCAAATCTTTCTGGAAAGCAGTCAACGTTGATGAAGTCCTAAGACTTTTCCTGCTGCTGTTATTAACTATTGGCGAGACACTTGGAGTGGGGGATTTAAGAACCGGGGATACTTCACATGGAACTATGCTCAGATCAGATGGAACCACTTCGTCAGTGGGATTATGATTGTTTAACACACCACTCTTGGAACAACTTAGAATGTTTGTATTAGATTCACTACAATGACCAACAATGACTTCATGCTTGTCCACTTGTTCAGATATTTCTTCTTCCATATTAACATCTGAATCCCAAAAACTTTGTTCTTCAATACATGCATTTACAGCCGTGTTTGGCTGGTGTTCCCCAGTTCCTTTAGAGTGCAAAAGTTGTGAACTTGGTTGTGCAATTTCTTGTGTCCCCTCATCCAAGGTGCAGGTTTCTTCAGTTTCTGCTAGTGCAAGACCATCTTGATCACCTTCTTCAACAATTTCCATTTCTTCATCACCATCTTCATCTACATGAGGTAGTGTCATTGGACGATTGAGGTTATATTTCAGGAGATTCAGGCTTCTACGGGCATCCCATCCTCTTAGAGAGCCTCCACTTGCATCAGTTTGGTTGCCATTTGCCCTCATTCGAAGAAGTTCATCCTGTATATTATATACAGAGGCAAAAACTTCTGTTAAGGTCATAACTGGAATAATAGATTCCGTTATCGCGAATAATGTGAACTAAAAAGAGAATGAGCATTAAGAATATACCTTAAGTTGTCGTATCACTTCACGCAAAACATTTACATCATCCTGCATTTCTTCATTAATGACTGCCTTGTTTTTGATAGCCTTTGCGCGCTGGGCAAATCTTAATGTACTGAATGTCTCGCTTTTGCAGCTGCATTATTACGTTGTCTAAATTATCCAACTCAAGGAAAAAGTCAAAAGTAAAACAAACACAAGGAAGCAAAAGTCTGCCATATCACCTTTGCGCTGGAGAGATGGCACAGACCATCGCTAGTTTTGCATTACCACCAAGAGATTCCTGCAATAAGAACGTCAACTTGGAATCTCTATAGGGGATGTGCCTTTGCTTTCCTGTTTGAGAAACTTCCGCGAGAATGTTTATTAAGTTCCTGTAGATTTAACAAATTACAGTAATCAGACAAGAAACTTTACCTTTTCAAGAGGTCATACGAACATAATGTATTGTGAATTCTGCACTCAACACAGATTACCACTTGTAGAGATCATTAACAAGATGCCATAGAATTAGGCTGAAGAGTAGCTAGACAAAATTGTCAGGAAGTCTTTCATCCAAGAAAGTTTTATCTAGTTATTTCTCTAACTTGACAACCAGAAATGCAAGCATGACTTTCCAACAAAAAAATTTTAAATTTATAAGAAAAATGGACTACAAAAACTTATTCTTCAGCTTTCAATAATCATTGAGTACCTTTTCTATTTATGAAAACCAAACATTCTCTGGTTTTGGCGGAAGTACTTTCAAAGGGGCCAAGTTGAACAGTAAAATTACCAGAATCGTGGGTCAACTTTATACATATAATAGTTGAGAGTGCACGGTACAATATTTTTTAGGATTTGCGGTGCGAATGGGGTAAACTTAGAGTTAGTTTGGTAATGCGCTTTTTTTTTTTAGCAAAAAAAAAATTCGTCAAAAAAGTAAAAACAAGTTTAGATATAATTTTGCAAAAAATGATTTAGATGCATTTTAGTAAATAAATAACAAAATTAATATATGCATATTTTTATCGAATTAATGTTAGAAAAGGTGAGTAAGTCTTGAAAAGGAAAAACTAGAAAAAAAATGGCAAAAAAAAAAAAAACTTCTCAAAAAATAGAATATGCAACAAAAGAACTTTCAAAAAGTGTTATCGAACGATACCTTAATTGTATATATATGAAATTATATATAAGTATACATTCATTTACACATTATGAACTGACTTTTGCTTTAGATTTCTTGTAAGAGTTCTAACACGAACCATAATCTAAGACAGCGTACTGGTTAATAGTTGTAAATAACAAAACTAGTGGTTGCAAATTTGAATAACAAAAAAATTCAGATCACAACAAATCAAAACATTAGTTTAAGCTTCAAAGATTACCAAGATAAATAAATAACCAGTTAGGATTACAGGGTTAGTATACTAGTTTAGGATTACCTAGCTCATGGGTTGATTTGGGGTTCGAGTAATAATTTGAGGTTGAGAATTCAGACGATTAAGTCAGAAACCCACCTTGTTTCTGGTTGTTTAATCCCGTTTCATGGGACTCTTGGGGTACTTATGATCTCATTATCTATGCTATCACCACTATAACTTTTGGATTCCAAATGTTTTTTAGTCTATAGACTCTTATGTCCATAGAGAAAATATTTTTTTCTTGCATGATTATGAGTCATGTGCTAACATGCATTTAAAAATTCAATTTATGTGATACAGTAGTCAAACTAACCCCACTAATCATTTGCTCCAAAAGCATTACTTGTTCTTAGGTCACCGTGATTTTCCACTTCATTGTACATGTGCTTGGGTCAGTGTGATGAGAAGGAAATCTTGCAAGATAGGGGGTTCTCTAAACCATCAACTAGCTCTTTGAAGATAAGCAAGAGTCTCTAACTAGTTAACAGCCTAATTTTTAAATCTTAACAGGTCTCGTCAGCCAGCATCACGAGCTTGATGACTAGGCCTTTTTAAGTTTGTAGTTTTTCGATTTGCTTGCATTGGAAGTTTTCTGGCTGTTTTGAAGGCTGTGCATAACCATTTTGACTTCCTAAGAATGTAGACACCTCTTGTTGATGCTCGAAGGATCTCAGTTGATGATTTTAAGCCTTCAAGCTTGAGGCTTGCATCTGCTCTTCCTGAATTGTTTGCTAATGGGTTACATCCAGCGACGATACAAGTGATGAAATTATCAATCCTAAGATCCTAGACCTAACAGGTTTCGTCGGCCAGCATCACGAGCTTGATGACTAGGCCTTTTTAAGTTTGTAGTTTTTCAATTTGCTTGCATTGGAAGTTTTCTGGCTGTTTTGAAGGCTGTGCATAACCATTTTGACTTCCTAAGAATGTAGACACCTCTTGTTGATGCTCGAAGGATCTCAGTTGATGATTTTAAGTCTTCAAGCTTGAGGCTTGCATCTGCTCTTACTGAATTGATTGCTAATGAGTTACATCCAGCGACGATACAAGTGATGAAATTATCAATCCTAAGATCCTAGACCTAACAACTACAAAAAGCACAAGTCATGATTGTAACTGCATCAAATATGGTTAAAATTATCTGAACTAAATCGTCTCTATTCTTGTAGTTAACCTTTTTCAGCATATTAATATCTTATCTTTCTTCAATTTTACTTTGTAACAGAAGCATAAATAAATCACGATCAAAAGTGTTAAGTAGAGAGCTCTATATTATTGTAACCAAGCATCAATCTTTTTTTTTGTCGTTGTTTTACTCTTTCTTTGACACACAACAGATGATGTTGGCAAATATATTTATTGAACATATATCACATGGTCTTGCTGATCATATCTCCCTAGTTTTCTATAAGCAGCTCTCATTTTAATCTTTCACAAGCGACTTGCAGCATAATTTTATCCTTCATTCTACTTTGTGATGGAATTTCTGTGAGGATAGACTTCTTAAAATATCAGCCTCAACATCCATTATGAGGTACATAAAAGAAAGTCAGTCTCATCATTTGTCTCGGTTCATATCAAATTATTGCAAGAGCTCATGGTGCTCATTTTCTCCAGTATACTGTGCAATAGTAGGATAAGAATAATCACACCACCATAGTCATACATTGAATTGAGTGTTTCTAACTCAAACTATATATTAGGTAAAAGGCCTAATGTTATTTATTGGGAAGAAAAGGTCTGCTACTGCATAACCATACCCGAGCTGTGAAAGTGATCGATTTATGTTCCCTGCTTCCTTCAATCGTTCTCCAGCTGCACCGGTCAGCTTCTGTCTTTCTGACCCAGCAAGATCAACAAGATTTATTCTGCTTGATTTAAAGCAGCTTAACCCATCTGACATGCTCTGTCAAATTAAATTAGACCACATTTAGCATTTCATAATACATAGAGCAAAAAGGAACCGAAATACCATTGAAAGAGTGACAAGTGTGCGTATACAGAGAGAGTGATCCACAAAGCACTAACTAGGCTGTGTACTTTTATAAGCCTGCTTTTAAACCTCTAACAAACATACAGGGTAAAAAGCATCCCTTTTTATAGGGATAAAAAAGAATGAAATCATCCTCCACATCTGAAATAAGAATAATTAATTCAGTAATTGTCCTCAATAATATGATTGTATTACCTTGCATTGTGATTCAACAACACAAGTGAATACACTTTATGATGTAGGGATTGTCAAATAGAGGACTGGTGCATATACACAGAGAGTGATCCACAAAGCACTAACTAGCTTGTGTACTTTTATAAGCCTGATTTTAAACCTCTAACAGACATACAGGGCAAAATGCATCCCTTTTTATAGTGATAAAAAAGAATGAAATTATCATCCACATCTGAAATAAGAATAATTAGTTCACTAATTGTCCTCAATAATCTGATTATATTACCTTGCATCGTGATTCAACAACACAAGTGAATACACTATGTGATCTGGAACTCTCGGCATTTATACAGGTGGCGCCAGTCCTCCTATTTGACAATCCCTGCATCATAATGTACAGTTCTTATGACTACAAGATCACAGGAAAAATTATAAATCTAAGAATTACTGTTAAGCAAAGTTCAAAATGAAACAGAAAAAATTAGGATACCATATCCAATGGCTAAATCCAACATGAAATGGAGTAGTTTCATATTACGACTAATTAATTCCCCTTTACAAACTACTACGTGACACACTTTTACATTGACTTGTAAGATAGCGTAATAGATGCGACATACAGCGAATATCACTTAGCTTGCCTGTCTATTGGACCCAAATTTAGTTAGTATAACAAGTTTTTAACTATTTTTTCAATAAGAAACAACACAAATAAGTTTTTAACTTAAATTCAACTACCAATATTTGGGATTACAGCAAACACCTATCCATTAAGACACCATATTCGAATTGAATTAATGGAAAGTTGGAGGTGAGCAGTACAGCATTAGCCTCAAGGATCTTTGGTATTCTGCCCCTCCATGTTTTACTTATGTTTTAAATTTGAAAGGAAACAAAAACAATGCATAGCTCGTTTCATCATGCAAAACATAAAGAAATGTGAAAAAGGTGTTTCCCAATAAATTTTCTAAAAATTCAAATCAAATTTGCAGTACATTAGTAGGTAAACTTTTGCCAATCCTAAGAAGGTAAACTTTCTTTTTGTATGAGTTTAAACATTGGAAATGTGCATCAAAAGATTATTGCGCCACTAAGAAAATTTCACAAACTCATTCTAAACCAAATATAATCAGTTGATTAATTTAGGCACACAACCTTCCTACCCATTAGAAAATCATAATTTAAAAAAATCACTGTAGAAATGGGTAAAGTGGAATCACAACGTTCAGGACATGAAAGGCATAAAATAGCTATTTAAACCTTTATCAAAAGCTGTGTCACATCCCTCATTGTGCACACACACTCTTCTGTCAAATTGTCAACATAAACACCAGTTTTCACATCTTCTCTTATCTGGAAGGAAAAAAAATCCACAGAAATTGTAAGAACAACAGGTTACCAATGGCATACAAATTCAAGCAACATAAAACATCCATATTAACCTTCCAAAAAAACACATCCCTATTACCCCCTATTACCTGGAGATTTCTTTGAATTGGGTCCAGCAAGTCAGTGATTTGTTCATTGTAAATCTGTTAATACGAATTTGAAAACTTAGCAAAGTGAAGTAGCTTAAGTATGACCATTGAACACACAGTACCAGATTCAGTGAATAAACCTCGAGAAAAGAACAGCGACACTGATACATGAGCTGTTTGTCAGCGTGCTTAATTTGCTCCTACATGTAAAGAGTGAGGGTGCACGTTATAGAATTCGAACAATACAAATTGTGATTTTTCTGAGTAGTCTAACAATCACGAGTTTGATAATAAAGAGAATGGAATCGTACCTCGTTTATGCGGGCAAAAAGTAGCTCAAAAACACGGGGTGTTATGCCTTGTTGATCGCTCGATAGGTTTTCTTCCATTAAGGTATTGGCTGGCCCCCATATTGTATACGTCTTTCCACTCCCAGTCTAATCAATTCCATTTCAAAGCAGTTGATAGATTAATATAGCCCAATTCTTAGAGTACATATTATATTGTCCATTTGTTTGTGTATATTTGTATCTGTGCAAACAAATTTGCGCATATAAATGTATTCCCATAGGAGAAAACAAACATGGACCAGAAGATACCTGTCCATATGCGAATACAGAACTGTTGAACCCAGCAAGACAATTCTCGACAAGAGGAGCTCCCACAAGCTGGAATATATCTAGCTAAATAATACAAAGACAGAAAATTTCAAACATTTCTGATACTGATACCGACATATTCTATTTGATAACCCACAGAAACCTATGTAAAATTTCTATCTAACCTGTGTTGCCTCACTGTCTGCAACAGAGTCAAATGTAAATGTCTGTCCAAGGATTGACAAAGAATTATTGGAAACTTTCTGAATTATCATCTCTCCTTCTTCCTCATCCTTATTTGGTGGCCGCATACGCACTATTACCTAATTTATGTACCATAAATCACAAGAATTCTTTCAATTATGTTTGATTGCCACGAACATGTAGATAGAAAAAAGAAGTAAAGTTCCATATCCAAAACTTTTCACCCTCTGAAGGTTTTCCAGAGACAAAACCCTCCACCCAATTGAATGTATCCGACCAACAGGCTTAGTTGAGTGAAGCATGTTGCACAAACCTATTTCTCAATAACCAACTTTCAAAAAGCAAATTGGAGCAGAGAAGGGTTTGAAAGTAAGCGAGATAAATCTTACTTCCTGTTCTTCTCTCCAACATTTTTAGACGAACCAAACAAAGCACAAAACAATCACGCATATCCAAGATTTCAATTGCTTATTTTCTTCTCCGCTTTTTATCAGCAACCAAACATATCAGACAAAAAATTTAAGGGTGATATATTCTGTATTTTCTTTTTTGAACTGACAAAAATTAAGGCTTTCTTAGTAACAACACACAATCCAGGACCTCTTCTCTCCTTTTTTTTCACAATTTTTCAATAACAACACCAATTATACTTGTAGAAAATAAAGCAAAAAATGAAATCAAAACTAGAATTCCAATCACAACTGTTAAAATCTATTTTCCTCTCCTTTTGTCCGCATTGTCTAGGCAGCCAAATATACTTGTAAGCAATATCCCTTCATAAAAAGTAGGATTTCATCCTCAATTATCTCAACAACAAACAGATATGTGTAAAACTCATGCAAGAAACGAAAATTAGGATTACAATGCTTATGGGTTCTAAAACAAAAAAATTAACCTTGACTCCAGAATCTGAAGATCCGGAGACCCCATTTTCAGGCAGACTCTCCATGCTGAGCTTCCTTTTAAGAGGGTTAGAAGGCAGAGGCCGTGGAGGAAGCGGGCTCTTGATCTTCGCCGCCGGAGATGGTTTCGCGGAGACGGAAGGTGACGGTGATGATGAATAGTCCGGCATTGTGTTCGGATCCGACGGTGGAGCGTTCTCTTTCGACCATTTATGCTTTCGATTTGACGAAGATGATGATTTCTGTTTGGAAGTACTAGGGTTTAGAGACATTAGAGTCTCGTGGTTCTCTCTCAAGATTCCGTTTCTTGGCTGCAAAAAGTGCTTCATTGTGTGAGCTTTGTGGAAGAAAGAAAGCGAGAGAGAGAGAGAGAGAGAGAGAGAGAGAGAGGAGACAAGAAAGCGAGAGAGAAGGGAAGAGAAAGAAGCAGAGCGTGGAGAGAGAAAATAGCCGTTGCAGTTTTGGGGATGAGGAATTTGAATTGAATTTAGGGGTGAAAGAGACACGTCATAATTTCACATGGCTTGTACAAAATTAATATGTTTTAATTTGACGATCGTATAATTTATAGGGTAAATTATATAAACAACCCCTTAACATTTGATTTTATTATATAGACACCCTTTAATATTTTAAAAATAACACCGAACTCCATCGACATTTAATAGTTGTAACAACTATACCCCCTCTAACTAACGGATGTTAAAATTATTCACAGTCAAAGTTAATGTTATTAACAATGATTCCTAAAATACCAAAAATACCTTTCAAAAAAATATTTTTTTTACCTTACAAATTTATCCAATCTCTCATTTATTTTTTTTAATCTATATATTTCATATATAAATTAAAATATAAAATTTAACGCTGAAATGTTTAATTTTTTAATCTATTACATTAATAAGTTAATTTTTTTTGTTTATTAAATAATATTTGGAACCCAACTAGACCTATCACTAGACCCACCAAAACTTTCAAACCCCACTAGACCCACCACCAGAAAGAGAAAAGAGAGAGACTAAAACCACAATCCATTGAAAATACTCTTGTCTCCACCACCACTGAAACTCTCACTTGGACCAAACTCATCATCAACCAACACCACTACATCGCAGAAGTTAGGGTTTCAAAATCCACTTGCAACCACCACTTGCAAAATCCACCCATTAACACTAGTTTTGCCACCTAGAGTATCGATCAGAGAGAGGTAGGAGAGAGAGAGATGGAGATTACAAACCCTAGGTACAATTGCGCCGCTGGGTGTTGGTGAAAATAGTTGGTGGTGGTGGGTGGGTGGATTTTGAAACCTGACGACGGTGGGTGCTGGTGAAAATAGGCGGCAATGGTTGCGCCGCTGGGTGTTGACACAAGTTGTTAGGGGGGTCTGATATGTTTTGAGAGAGAGAGATGATGGGGACTTTGATTTGTTGTGAGAGAAAGAGAAAGAAAGAGTGTGCATGTGGGGGGGAGGGGGTCAGCTTTTAGGGGAGGAGTCTTGGGTCTTAATGGGTAGTTAAGGTGAGGATAAAATGGTCTTTTTGTTTGTGTTGTTAACGACTCTCATTTTGTGGGGTCTCAGTGCAATTTTAGAAACGTGAAGGGATGTCCATGTAATAAAACCAAATGTCAGGAGGTGTCAATGTAATTTATCCTAATTTATAATATAAAACATGGCAGGTTTTATTAAGTTCAACTAACGGTCTTAAATATACTTATTCAACGGACACCAAACATCTATTTTCAAAACTTTCACATTACACAGTGCCTTCAGATAACCCCTAGTACAAAATTGATAAATTGGTGAATTTGTTAAAGCTTGCCAAATAAATTGGTGGAGACTAAATATAGTATGAAATTCTTAAATAAGATTTATATACCGTAGTTATTGAATTTTTTTTACAATACAAACTAGTTATATATGATTAATTTATAATTGAATTTGATTTAAACAAATTTATACATGATATGACTTCCAAATGACACAAACCCGACTTATTAGTTACTTTTAACTTTAATCCAGATTGGTTGGGTAAAGTGAAGGGAATTAAAAAAAAAATGATTGAGAAAAGAACATTGACACTAAATAATAGGAGCTCCACTCCAACCCTTTGTTTATTTGGTTCGAAAATAAAAATATTTTTTTTTTCTTCTCACCCCAAATTTTGTTTCCATCTAGGACAAGAATCAGACATTGGAAAAGAAAAAAACTGTATATGTCTCGATATTTTAAATACAAAATTATTAATTAAGCTTTTATACTCCTAGCAATTGATAGTGTGACAAACATACTTAGTTTTGAGTGATGCTATTTGGATTTAAAATTTGTTGACCTGATTTATTATAACATTTAGATTGACTAGTAATGAAAAAAATTAGATCATAAAATTTTGATTATATTTTTTAGAAATACGAGGTGTGTGAAGTTGACGAAGTAAAAGACTGCTGATATATGCATTAAATGACTTCTTGAATCTAATAAGAATGGCATTATAACATAAGACTAATAAATCTCATAAATATAATTTATTAATCTAAAACTATTCCACCACCACATGAATTCAGGAAGTCTGGTAACAAAACTAATTCTACTCATAATATAATAACTCCTAAAACACTACAAGTCTACTAATAATAAATAATTAAATATTAGGAGATTAGTTTAATAGATTAAGCTCTTCATTCCATGAAAAGTACATTTTTTTGGGCGTTCATTATCACTTTGATGGAAACACCAATTCGCTTGAACACAAATTAATTTTAGTTCCAATTACAAAAACTGTTGTTAGGTAAATAGAACATTTATGCATTAGTCATACCCAAATAGATGGAAAATAAAGTAAAGATAATACCATACCAACAATAGACATGTTCTGACAGAGAAAAAAAAAGCTCAAAGGTTTATAACAGCAAGCACCGTCGACCCTGCAGATATATAAGACCAAATATGTTAATGAAGTTACTAGAGAGATATATGTCTATCTTCATATATCTACCTATATATATTTCTAATAAAATTGTTCAAAATATTTTGAAAATCTAATGGGTATGAAAGAAAGAAAAATATATGGGTTTAGCTCTTTACTCTTCTAATCTTTTATTAAATAACAATGAATAATGAATTTTTGATAGTTGTGTTTACATCCTAAAAAATAACAATTTTTTTTCACATCATATTAGAATTCTAGTTGAGATAAATTTTGAAAGTCATAGAGATAAATTTTATCAAATAATATATAGTGATAAAATTTATATAACAATAAAAAATTTGGAAGTCATAGAGATAAAGTTTATTTAGATAATATTTTGTGGGTAAAATTGTCTTTAGTATAATAATTAGGGGTAAAATAGGAAATCAAAAGTTTCCTATATCTATCTATATATATTTCTAATAAATTTATTTAAAATATTTTGGAAGTCTAATAGGTATAAAAGAAAGAAAAATATATGGGTTTAGCTCTTTACTCTTCTAATTTTTCAAAAGTTTTTCGCAAATGTTGACATTTATAAGTAGTATAGATTCCCATAAAATATTGAAACTTGCTCTTAATTCAATTGTTTCAATAAAACCATATTACCAGATCAACAGATTAGTTCAAATTTTTAAGTTTAAATTACATTACTCTTTAGTTTTATGTGACCTAATTGGTCTTGGGTAATATTTTATAAATTTTATTTTTTAATAAATAACACCATTTATTGTTATTTATTTTTTTTATCAAATGGAATCAATGGACTGTTGATTAACTTTTGGGGGCTAACCTTTTATTTTGTTTCCTTCGACTTGGGATGTTATGAAACTTTTTTTGTGAGACTTAAATTTGTACATAGCCTAAAACTTTTTCCTGGGATATATTATTAAAATCTGCAAAATATGAGGTCTTCTTTAAAATTGAGAGTTTTCTATGGTACAAAAAAAAAAAAAAATCGATACTACATTACTATTTACAATTTTTGTGGGTATTTTTACAATTATTAAGATTGATTGCAAATATCATAAAAGTGATAAAAATAGTTACCACAATCTATACTATTAATAAAAGTACACTATCAAGAAAAATATTTGATTGACTACTTTAACCATAAAAGAATATATAAAGACAATACTATCCTTATTTAATGTAGAACTCATATTAATAATACTTGATGGATGTTAAACTTTTAAATGGACAACTTTGATCTCACAATACTAACATTATTAATATGGAATTCATATTAATAAAATTTCATTAATATTATACATATCTAAGGCTTTCATATTCTTTCTTTTAAAAGACAAAAATTAATTGTTAAAATAATTAAATTTACTTTTATTTATGTCTATCTATTTTCATTAGTTGATGACAAATTACATAAATGCACTAGTCTTATTTAATATAAGATTTATTTTAATATAATTTAGATAATATTATTAAACTCTAACTTTTCATTTCTTCTCTTTATGTTTTAGTTTTTGTTAGATATTGGTTGGGTCATGGACCCGAACCGGGGCGCCCATGGTGAGTTGACTCAAGTTAAAGAATGCCCAAATGGGCATGTCTTTTGGATGTATTTTTTTACCAAAAGATATCCTTTACCTAAAATACATGTCTGTTAAATATTAACAGACATGTCCCTATATTATGTGTCTTTTAATGACACCTATTAGTTGTCTATATAAATCCAAGACAACCAATAGATGAGAGATATCTGAAAAATAATAAAACGTTAAAGTCTTCTACTTTATTTTTCTCTCTTCCTACATAACATTGAAAGGTTTTTGTGATGTGGAAACTTGATGTTGATTCCTATTGTAACAACGTTATATTGTTCGAGTAATCGAAGAAAAGACAATTTTTAGATTCTAAAGTACGTGGAATATCCTCAAATGATCTTTAAGATTAAAATGAAAAAGATGTGTCTTTCATCCTATACTTGCGTAATATGTTATAAGATTCCCACCATTGGTATCAGAGCCATTTAAGAGTGTTATCATACCTTTGTGATCAATTATTAATTGTTTAGAAATACTGTTTTCGAACGGGTGTTAATGACATCTCGAACAAATGGTCTCCGAATACATTTAAGTTTTAATATATTGTAGTACATAGATAAATGAATCAATCTGGGAAGTTCGGTGAGAAACGATCTCATGGATTGACAGTACCAATTTTTGAGATAAAAGTGAATTGGGAAGGAATTTGTCACTTTCGACAAACTGAGATTTATTTTTTTTCGTTGTCCAGTTGTAAGAATTAGATGTGGTTTCCTACTTGTGCCATGATGACGTAAAGAA